AAGAACCGGTTATAATTCATAGGAATCCTTTTAAAATGAGAAGGAACGTTGCTAAATGAATAGGAACCAATCGGACTCCTGTATAAAATAATATGAATCGGCTTAAAAGATTGGTTTTTGTTGGACAGTACAGCGTTTTTGCAGTCCCAGGCCTCGAAAGTGCTGTACTGTCCCAAAAAAACCAATCTTTTCAAGGCAAAAAGTGCAAAAATGCTGTACTGTCCGAAAAAAACCAAAAAAACCAAAGTTTGGAGACCTTGGGCTCCTTCAGGGCCTGGAGGTCTCCAAACTTTGGTTATTTTTGGTTTTTTTGGGACAGTACGGCATTTTTGCTTGTTTTGGCTTACAAAGATTGGTTTTTTTGGCGTTTTTTGCAGTCCCAGGCCTCGAAAGTGCTGTACTGTCCCAAAAAAACAAATCGTTTTAAGGCAAAAAGTGCAAAAAGGCTGTACTGTCCCAAAAAAACCAAAAAAAGCAAAGTTTGGAGACCTTGGGCTCCTCCAGTGCCTGGAGGTCTCCAAACTTTGGTTTTTGGTTTTTTTTGGGACAGTACGGCATTTTTGCTTGTTTTGGCTTACAAAGATTGCTTTTTTTGGGACAGTACAGCGTTTTTGCAGTCCCAGGCCTCGAAAGTGCTGTACTGTCCCAAAAAAACCAATCTTTTTAAGGCAAAAAGTGCAAAAATGCTGTACTGTCCGAAAAAAACCAAAAAACCAAAGTTTGGAGACCTTGGGCTCCTCCAGGGCCTGGAGGTCTCCAAACTTTGGTTTTTTTGGTTTTTTTTGGGACAGTACGGCATTTTTGCTTGTTTTTGCTTAAAAGATTGGTTTTTTTGGGACAGTACAGCGTTTTTGCAGTCCCAGGCCTCGAAAGTGCTGTACTGTCCCAAAAAAAGACAATCTTTTCAAGGCAAAAAGTGCAAAAATGCTGTACTGTCCCAAAAAAACCAAAAAAACCAAAGTTTGGAGACCTTGGGCTCCTCCAGGGCCTGGAGGTCTCCAAACTTTGGTTTTTTTGGTTTTTTTGGGCCAGTACGGCATTTTTGCTTGTTTTTGCTTAAAAGATTGGTTTTTTTGGGACAGTACAGCGTTTTTGCAGTCCCAGGCCTCGAAAGTGCTGTACTGTCCCAAAAAAACCAATCTTTTTAAGGCAAAAAAGTGCAAAAATGCTGTACTGTCCCAAAAAAACCAAAAAACCAAAGTTTGGAGACCTTGGGCTCCTCCAGGGCCTGGAGGTCTCCAAACTTTGGTTTTTTTGGTTTTTTTGGGACAGTACGGCATTTTTGCTTGTTTTTGCTTAAAAAGATTGTTTTTTTTTGACAGTACAGCGTTTTTGCAATCTTTTTAAGGCAAAAAGTGCAAAAATGCTGTACTGTCCCAAAAAAACCAAAAAAAACAAAGTTTGGAGACCTTGGGCTCCTCCAGGGCCTGGAGGTCTCCAAACTTTGGAAATTTTGGTTTTTTTGGGACAGTACCGCATTTTTGCTTGTTTTTGCTTAAAAAGATTGGTTTTTTTGTGACAGTACAGCGTTTTTGCTCTTCTGGGCCTAAAACATTGGTACAGTAGAGCGCTTTCGTGCTCGCTGCCCTCGGAGGCTTCGAAATCCTAAGCCTCTAAACCCTACCATGGCACCTGAGAGGAAAAAGTGTGGGCATATGGGGGGGGGGTACCATACATATATATATATAAATCTTTGTTTTTTTCAAATTTATTTGTTTATGTATCAAAGCTTTATTATTAAATATGTAGTTCGAATACGTTCGGGTTCAGGGTTTACAGGGTTCTCAGACTCTTTTTGGTGTGGCCCGCTTAAGTCAGGGCATTCATCGCATACACAACACTTTTTTCTAGACCCTAAACCCTAAACCCTAAACCCTAAACCCTAAACCCTAAACCCTAAACCCTAAACCCTAAACCCTAAACCCTAAACCCTAAACCCTAAACCCTACCCTAAACCCTAAACCCTAAACCCTAAACCCTAAACCCTAAACCCTAAACCCTAAACCCTAAACCCTAAACCCTAAACCCTAAACCCTAAACCCTAAACCCTAAACCCTAAACCCTAAACCCTAAACCCTAAACCCTAAACCCTAAACCCTAAACCCTAAACCCTAAACCCTAAACCCTTCTCCTTGGGCTTGCCCAGGCTTCCTCGACTCGGTCCTTCCCCGAGGGGAGGAGGACAGGGCGGCCTTGTTCAGACTCGGCTCTTGCGATGTTTGGGGTTTAGGGTTTAGGGTTTAGGGTTTAGGGTAGGGGTAAAAGTACCCCTTCTGATAATCTTTATTGAGGACTGTTACAAAAAAAGGGTGAACATCCCAACCCGGCTCCGTGCATGCACCTCTGTGGAGCATGTGAAGCTCTAAGGTTTTGGGCGTTTAGGGTTCAAGGTTTGGGGTTTAGGGTTTAGGGTTTAGGGTTTAGGGCAAAAGAACAACGCGGATTGGTTTTCATGTGGGCTTTTTGGGGTCCCATTATGCATATGGGCCCCCTTACCCCGTGCCAAAGGGCTGCCGGAATGTGAGGTATGTAAGCCGGATATAACATGGAAGCTTTCCGAAAGTTCGGGGCACCCACATTGCGGACCACTTTTCGTACTTTGGGGCACACCAGGTGGAACCACCCTTTCAGGAAACACCCTCAACCCTGAACCCTGAACCCTGAACTACTCAGATTCTCTCGCTCGTGGCTCCAGGAGGCTGGCGAAAAGCGGTTCAAGCTGCAAATCTGAGGCGCCAAGCGTCGATGCCATGGAAGAGTGGACCTGGGTTTAGGGTTTAGGGTTGAGGGTTTGGGGTTTAGGGTTGAGGGTTTAGGGTTTAGGGCTGAGGGTTAAGGGTGTTGGTCATGTTTTGAATCCTCGATGTCCATGTCCAACAAGGACTGCCTCCCCAAATTTTCTCGATAATGACAGGTGCGCAGCGGCCGTAGCCCAAAGGGTGGCAGCTGGGCGACTTCCTTCTTTTCAGCGTCTCGTGGTACAGGAGCTCGCCACCCCCCATGGACTCCATCAAGGACGACATGGGGAGTGTGCACTGTGCTGCAACCATCATCTCAGGTACTAACAAGCCGACAGCACCTGACGTTGTCTCAAGAAAGAGCGTCATCATCACGCATTCTGACAGATGTGCACTTACCCAGGGCGCTTGACTGGGTTTCGTTTCTGATGCCGTCCTGAGGCAACGTCGGGGTGCGAATATCAAATGATAGCAGCCATTGCGTTTCTGAAGCTGATGTGCAGGGAGCCTCAACCCGAATCCCCCAAACGACAGGGGAATTGCATACTACGGGCCATGTCGGGTCTGCAGTAGTCCCAACGCGTACATCCGGTTTAGGGTTTAGGGTTTAGGGCCTAGGGCCCACCCCCAAAAATTGCAAGAGCTGAAAACATCTCTTCACATCAGCCCGCTCGACCTTCCTCAAGGGAGCGAGGGATGCAGACCAGCGGTGTCAGCATCACATGGGGGGCGGGGGTTTCCGAAGATTTGGGGTCCTGGTTGAAGGAAACTGCTACCCTAAACCCTAGCCCTAAACCCTAGCCCTAAACCCTAGCCCTAAACCCCAAACCATGTTGGAAACCTCCACATGCCAAAGGCAAGGAGGTGGAGCATGGCAAGGCAGCCAGAACCAATCTCTGCCCAAAGCATCCAAAATCTGTTGGGCGTTGAGGGCGCTTTGCTTGCAGGACTTGCCATGACCCAGGGTTTAGGGTTTAGGGTTTAGGGTTAGGGTTTAGGGTTTGGGGTTTAGGGTTTGGGGTTTAGGGTTTAGGGTTTAGGTTTAGGGTTTAGGGTGTAGGGTTTAGGGTTTAGGGTTTAGTGTTAGGAGATCCTTCAAGCTTGTCTCTGTATGGCATGTTTTCGCTAGTACATCATGCCTTGCACAGCGTTTCAAGTGGCAGAGCTGGTGCTGTGCCTCTGAAAACCTGTTATGATAAATGCTGATGCTCGTATAGATCGTGCTTCTAATGATACTGCACTTCTCAGTAATTGAGAACCACTACGAAGTAATGTTCCAAGTGGAATCCTTTTGTACTTCCCCCCACCCCCCCCCGCCCCAATACTAAGTATTCACACTATAATGCGCCTATGATTGCTATGATTATGTGCTTATGAACCTCCAACAAGTCTTCCAATGGGGATTACCATCTTTCATTTTTGTGGGGCTTCTTCAGCAAATCGTAGATGAACAGCTCTAACTGCTCTAAACAACCCTAATATTGGAAGTACTTTGGGAACCCCCCCCCCCCCCCCCCGCCCTGAAACAGCATTGTAAACAGGGGTACTATAATCCCTATTGAGGACTGCTAGTATAGGGGGGGAACATCCCAAGGAGTACCCTGAAACCCAAAACCCTAAACCCTAAACTATGGGGGTTCGGTTGTTTCGGGGGCACTTGGACCAGCTTCCCTGCGTCGCCGATGGCTTCCACGATTGGGGTTTAGGGCTTAGGGCTTAGGACTTGTAGGGTTTAGGGTTTAGGGCTTAGGGCTTAGGGTTTAGGGTTTAGGGTTTAGGGTTTAGGGTTTAGGGTTTAGGGTTTAGGGTTTAGGGTTTAGGGTTTAGGGTTTAGGGTTTAGGGTTTAGGGTCCTTCTTCACATCGCCTGCCCGCAGCCGCGGTGCTTCAGACCCACGGTGCCTCTCGGCAAAGCCGTGCAGTGCGCCGAAGGCACCCTTTTGTGCACCTTCAGGTTTAGGGTTTAGGGTTTAGGGTTTGGGGTTGGGGTTTGGGGTTTGGGGTTTAGGGTTTAGGGTTTAGGGTTTCAGGTTTAGGGAAAATAGGGTCTAGGGAATAGGGTTCAGGGCCTCAGGGTTTAGGGTCTAGGCTTTATCAAGTACTTGGGAGCCAGAGGATTTTTCTCGGGGGAGGTAGCGACGGAGGTGCATTTATGCCATCGCGCGTGCCCAGGGTTTCCGATGACGATACCTCAGAACAGAGCTGGTTTGGCCATCGCGTCCGGGCTGCACCTATAAACCCTAACCCAACCCCATGCCCAACAATGGACTCAAATTCAGAGAACTGTCTGGATGGTAGACTCTCAGCTAGCGGCGCAACTGCGAATTGTCATACTATCGTGCCTTCTGCTTGTGGTTTCAAATGTCCGGATTTAAGATTTAGGGTTTAGGGTTTAGGCCTAAACCCTAAACCCTAAACCCTGAACCCTGAACCCTGAACCCTAAACCCAGAATTTAGATCAACCCTCACTGGCCGGATAGGTTTAGATCCCAGTGAGGGCTCTTGGCTTTTTGCGCGGGGGAGAGAAGGGGAGCCCTTGATTCATGATGGGGGGTTTAGGGCAGGGCTTAGGGTGACCCTAATTTTGAGAGCTACCCATATGGCTTCAGGCATGTTCCTAAACCCCTTAACCCAAAACCATAAACCGCCTAGACCCTAAACCCTAAACCCTAAACCCTAAACCCTAAACCCTAAACCCTTCATACTTGAAGGTCCAATTCGGGCATCGGCCTCTCTAGCTGCGGGACCTCATCTGCTTTGCAGCTCTGCGTCGGGTATGTAGGGACCAACTTTTTAAAGGGTCGCCCTAAACCCCAAACCCCAAAACCCCAAACCCTAAACCGCAACCCTAAACCCTAAACCCTAACCCCTAAACCCTAAACCCTAAACCCTAAACCCTAAACCCTAAACCCGAGTGTGCACTTGAGCGATTGTTGCAAGGGGACAGCAGAGACATGCCAAGGCGCCGCCACCGCACTTGCAGGTAAGTCCGCATCTCAGCCACCGCGCCCCAGAGACCCCAATGCCCCTGAACCAAGGAGTTTAACTTAAACTCTTTAAGGTTCAAGGTTTAGGGTTTAGGGTTTAGGGTTTAGGTCTTAGGGTTTAGGGTTCAAGGCGTGCATGAACCCTAACCCCTACACATGTGAACCCTCTATCAGTTCAGGGCATGCAATAGCTCTCTCCGGGACACGTTGCTCTGCCAGTGCAGACATTTGGAAGTGACGCGCGGACAGAGCTTCTTCCAGCGTTTGGAGGGTTGATTTGGGACTCACCTCTTCACCTCGTCCCATGGTTCCTAATCGTCCTTAAACCTCATCTACAGCAAATGATCGCCCATTGTCGGTAGCCCGAATTCAAAACAAACTCAACCCTAAACCCTAAACCCTAAACCCTAAACCCTAAACCCTAATCTTCTTTGAGGACTCCCGGACCTGCCCACTGGGGGTGCATCTGTGGGCATTGTTTGGGGCTTAGGGGTAACAGCACTTTCGTGTGGGCTTTGGGGTCTTAGGGTTTAGGGTTTAGGGCTTTGGGTTTAGGATTTAGGGTTTAGGGTTTAGGGCTTAGGGTTTAGGGTTGAGGGTTTGGGGTTTAGGGTGCACCGAACAGTACTGTGAGCGGGTTTAGCGTCGAAAGGGTTGAACCCAAAACCCTAAACCCCAAACCCCAAAAACCCTAAACCCTAAACCGTTCACCCACTGCTGTGTCAGGTCGAGACGCGCGGCGGCGAGCTCTTAGCGAGGTCGCCACGTACAAGCTGTCGCCAGTCACAGTGTGCGTAGTGCGAATCTGTGGAGAGCAAGGCGGTTTAGGGGTTGGGATTCATAGGGTTTAGGGTTTAGGGTTTAGGGCTTAGGGTTTAGGGTTCAGGGTTTAGGGTTTAGGGTTTAGGGTTTAGGGTTTAGGGTTTAGGGAGACTTGATGACTTCGGGAGGTGGCCCGCAAGACCCTGCCGATACCAGGCCTGCCTCTCAAGTGGTGCGATCTGGAGCCCTTTACAGGGATGGCAGGGTTTAGGGTTGAGTAGGGATGGAGCCATAGACTCAGACTCTTGAAGGGAATCCGAGGGTTTAGGGTTTAGGGTTTAGGGTTTAGGGTTTAGGGTGTAGGGTTTAGGGTTTAGGGCTTAGGGTTTAGGTTTTAGGGTTGGATTAGATTCTAGGATTTGGGGCATAAGGGTAAAGGGTTTCTAGGGTGTAATATCGCGGCCTGAATAATTCGAATAGGGCTTTGGGGGTTATTCTAGTATGATTCCAAAGGGACCATAAGGGAACATTATCAGTAATTTTTCCGACCTGTGAAGGACTTAACGGCCTTAAAGGGCTCATACACAGGGTTTCAGGCTTTGTGAGTGTCGGCGGGACCGCAGCGTCTGGGTGTCGTGCCTGACGAAAACCGGACGCCCCTAAGTCCTAAACCCTAAACCCTAAACCCTAAACCCTAAACCCTAAACCCTAAACCCAGGCTACACTGGGCATCTTCGGGCACACAAGGTGGAGAATGTCTTTGGCGCAACCTTCGGTGAGGCGATGGTGGTCGCTGAGGCTGCCGGGAACTTAGACGCCGGAGCTTTTGGGGGTTTAGGGTTTAGGGTTTAGGGTTTAGGGTTTAGGGTTTAGGGTTTAGGGTTTAGGGTTTAGGCCCCTAAGCTGGGGTTTAGGATGCTAGGGCTTGATGGTTTCAGGCTTTATAGGGGTCCCGTTTTGAGGATTACAGAACTACAGGCGAACTTTCGGGGCTTTTACGGCCGACCCTAAACC